GTGAGCAAAGGTGATTATAAAAGGAAGAAATTGAATTTAGAGGAGTATGTAAAGAAATTTAAGGAAGTTTTAAGGGAAGATACGAGTAAAATTAAATACTATAGACTAGAAAAATGCAAAATTGTTACAGAAGAAGGGAAAAAAGTTTTTAAAAGGGGGCAAATGATGCCGCAAGTATTAATTAAAGATACAGTAAAACACTTAAAAGATTTAGAAAAAAGAGAAATCAAAATTGGCGTGGAGAAAACCATTTGGGGCACTAAGAAAACAAAATGGAAGTATTAAATTGGTAAGTAATTTTCTCGCGCTAAATAATGTATAGGCCTTTTTTTAAAGACGGTGTAGGCGGTGTAGCTTTTTAAAATAATTTTTAACCCCTATTCTATGTAAAAAAAATGTATACATAAAAGAGCAAATAATTTGTATCTTCTACAATAAGTTAAAATATAAATACACGTTATTTTGAGGATATAAATTTCTTTATTATTATAATAGAAACATTTGTTGTTCATCGTATTAATTTTAGTAAACGTTTTACTATCTAGATATAGACGAAGTTGTGACAAGGCAATTACCCAAACTGAACAAATGCGACCCATGTTACATATACACAGAATAACAAATATATATGAATAAATAGAAATCTATTTATTAATCTTTTAAATTAATTTTCTTATAAGTTATTTATAACCAGCGTCCATAGATAATTAATTAACAAACCTCTTTAAAGAAGTACCCAATTAACGTTTGTAAAATAAAAAATCTATGTAGCGCTAGAATTTGAATACATATAAATTTATTTCAACTCATAAATCTTTTAAATATACCTTAACCTAAAAATAAATTTTTTATTCAAATTCTTCATAATCACGAATATTTAAAGAACTTATTTATAAAAATGCATTTTAATGCTTTTTATATATATTATAAAATAGACTAATAATCTTTTTAGATATTTATTTAGAATTCCTAGTCAAGTTTAAGAATTTTTTTAATTACTTTGTTATTAACTTAAATACATACTTTGGCACTTCTGATATTCTGTTGGCTCATATTTATATTATATATTTTTTTTAGTTGTAACTAAATTTTATGCGCTAAGTGACAGATATACATATAAATTACAATGATATAAATTGGTGACCACGATTTTTCTTAGGAAATTATTGCTTCAAATGTGTGTTTTTACTGTGAAAAAAATCTTGATTCATGAATTTTTCTATTATGTATTACAATATTTTATTTAAAAGTTGAATTTGTTATGAGTTTTTATGCTATCAAAATATGACTTCTCAACGTGGGTAAATTTCTGCCTAAGATTCTCTTCCCCCTTCTAGGTTTTTCAATTGTCAGATCTGCTCCTCGTCTGAACTCCATCGTGACACTTTCAAGAGTTTTCTTTAGAGTGATCGATTGAATATAAGCTTCAATTTGATCAGAGATTGCAAGCTCCTTCCTGTATTTTGCATGGTATTTTGTAACGATACCATGTCAATACATATGGAATTATTCTTGTTTTGCATTCATGAATCACACCAATTCATTAGCCAATACGTTGTACTTTCTTAACTTCTAAGATTCTACCTGTTGTAGATTGTCAATCGAAGTAACACCAATTTCAACAATTATTATTTCTTTACTCTTTTTATCAATAACAACAATGTCCGGCTTATTGTATTTTATCTTCACGTCTGTCTTTATGGTAGTATCTACTCTTATTTCTACATATTTGTTGGCCACTATTTGTTGGACTGAATGACTTCTTAGTTTCTTTCCTGAATCTTCTATCTTATATTTCTTGCACCGCAGCATGTGTATACACTTGACTATCTCATTATGCCTTCTCATATAGTCGTGTCCTAGCATTTTTTCGCATTTTGTAGCCATATAATCTACTGTTTTTCTGTTTGAATTGCAGTGTGGGCACATAACGCTTTCAGTAAAAAAGACATTTCTATCTTGTAAGAAGCATAATTTTCCTTCATGTTTGGCTAAATTATTTCCTTTATGGAGCCAAATTGACAATTTTTAGTGGATATTAATTCATGAGAGAGCCCTTCAATCAACTTTTTATGTAAGAATCTGGTTTTTGTTTCGTTGATTAGTTTAGAGTGTTGGGCTTCCATTACTTCTTCTATATTAGTGTTTTCAAG